CTTCTTTCTCCACAGAGGACTGGTCACCTTCTCCCCATATTGTGCTGCCCAGTGCAGCAGTCTGGGAGCTGACCTTGTTCGTGAAGACGAAGGCAAAAAAAGCATTGAGTACATTAGCTTTTTCCACATCTTCGGTCACTAGGTTGCCTCTCTCATTCAGTAAGGGGCCCACACTTTCCTTGAATGATGGGCAGGACCCTGTAGGCTTAGTCATGGTGTGTAATGTTACCAGTGACACTGGGCTCTGTGGGAGACAGTCCTGGAAGCTACATGTACATTATTAGGAAGAAGGTTTAAATACAGGGCTTCTCCAGTAAGTTTTTCTGTAAGGATCGTAGTACCAGTCTCAGGACCGGCCAGTCAAGAAGCCCTATGGAGACACTGTACATGGATTTGAAGATGGGGCAGAGAGGGGAGCTGCAAACTTCATTAAGCAGGAGGGGTCGCTTTGGTGAGGGGAGAAGCAGAAGATCACAATGACCTCTTTGTGTTTCAAAACTCTGTGGATCTATGACCCAGACCCAGAAGACAGGCTCCATTTAGCCAGAAGGGAACCAGATTGTCTAGCCATTAAAATTAAGTTTTCTAGTGAATTATTTTTTTCCACAGGGCCCCTGCCACTTTCAGTGCCCAGGATGGATAAATCAGGGTTGTGCAGCATCAGGCTGTTGCCTGTACAACCCCTGCCTCATTCACTTTAGAAACTGGAAGGCCTGTAGAGAATGAGCAGGGGAGCGCAGGAAGAACTAGGATGCTCTTGTTAAGAGCAGTGACCCTCATTCAGTAGAACTCAGTTCTATTCCTGATTCTGTCACAGACTTCACAGGTGATGCTGAGCAGGTCTCTTAAGCCAGTTTTTATGCAGTGTGATTTTCAGAAGTACTGAGCACTCTCAGCTGCTGCTAGGGTCAAGACAAGATGTGGCTGCTCAGCTCTTCTGCAGTCAGGCAGTGAGTGTGTGTGTGTGGGAGGGGAGGGGGGATGAGCACAGGGCTGTGAGTCAAAATACTGAATTTTATCCTGGCTCTGCTGCTGACTCACTGGGGGGGCCTTGGGCAAGTCACTTTGCTTTTCTTTCTCAGTTTCACCAGCTGTAAAACAGAGCTAATAATAATACTTACCCACCTGCTTCCCTGGAGTTTGTGAAGGTTTATTAATGTCTGGACAGTTCTTTGAATCCAAAATATGGTGAGTACTCTGAAGAATCTGGTCCCGAGTGTCACAGGTTGGTGCCCAATCACCCCAAATAAGTAACAAGTTTGGAATTTTGGTTTTAATCATTCTATGTAAAATTTTCAGAAGAACCTAACTGATGTAGGAGCCTAAGTGCCATTTTCAGAAGTGACTTAGGCAACAAGAGGTTGAAGTCTCCATGGTTCTTCGGCTCCTGCGTTACTCGAAAAAATGGGATTTAAGTCCCTAAGTCACTTAGGCACTTTTGAAAATCTTATTCTTGGACTTCTAAGTGTCTAAGTCACTTCTGAAATGGGCATAATAATGGTGCTATTTCCCAGGGTGTTATGAAGACAAATTCATTCATGTCTGTGGTGCACTCTGATACTATGGTGATGAGCACCCTAAAAAAGCCCATGAAGAAATTAATGTCTGTATGCTGTGCAGTGTTTGTATGGTACGTATAGTAAATAAGGCCCCGGATCGCATATTGAATGATGAGATAAAAGGAAATATTTAACAGCTCCCTCATCCCCTGAGCCCCAACCTTGTGTGTGTGTGTGTGTGTGTGTGTGTGTGTGTGTGTGTGTGTGTGTGGTA